CCCCACCCCACCCCGACTGCCGTGGGTGCTGGCCTGCTAACTAGCCTACTAGCCTGCTAACTAGCCTGCTAGCCTACTTACTAGCCTGCTAGACTGCAAGCCTACGAGCCTAACTAACCCGCTGGCCTGCTAGCCACCAGCCTGGCGGGAGTCTGAGCTGACTCTGCAGTTGGGCAGACTGCAGAGGACCAAATGGGTGGCCTCGGAGGACGGGCGGAGGGTATAACGTGGGATGTGGAGACGCCTCTGAATGTGGGGGCCTTTCCTCAGGTAATCTGGACAGGCTCGAAGGAGATGGCCTGGGGTCAAAGGTCATTCGTGGGCCTGGATTTCCTGGATTTGGGCCAACGTCACTTCATAGACACAGCCCCTGTCCCAAATGCTAAGTCCTGGAGTACGACCCCGAGCAGGAACCCAGAAGCCCTGACTTCTGGGTGCACATCGTCCCCAGGACTCAGTCATTCTTGCTGGAGAGCAGGAGAGAGAATCTGCAGAACCCCAGAATTACAGCCCAGACGTGGCCCACACAGGTTGGGAGCCGGAGAACGAGGTGTAGACTTCTGTGCCTCTCCGTTGAAACGAGCGGGCGGTGTGCGCATGCGCTCAGCGCTCAGGGACCCGGGCCGCGCTCCTGGAGGGGCTGGCTGAGTGCCCTGGGCCTGTGCGGCTGGGGACCCCAGGTGCCCGTGGACCCCTGAGGGGTGGCAGGGCATCACCATGGCCCCTGGCTCTTCCAGGTGGCTGAGCACAGGCCACCATGCTCCCAGGGGACACCTGGAGGGCTCCTCCCTGGGCTAGAACTGCGGACTCCCGTAAGGGGCACAAACGTCCATCTGACACAGCCACCCGCTGGGTGTGTCCTGGTCCCCTGCCTGTGTAGCGCACACGAGAGGTGCCCAGCAGTCACTCACGAGGCTCTCGTGTCCACCCAGCGTCAGCCGGCCGGGGACTCGGGGTGAGTGAGCACCTGTGGGGGAAGCCCTCTCAACTCTCATTTTCTAGTGTTTAGACACCGAGGTAGGAGCCGCCTCGGCATCTCTGAAGTTAAACCTGTGGACAGGAGTCAGGGTGTTCAGATGCCCGGCCCTCGGACCAGAGCACCGCGAAGAGTGGCTGGGGTGACACGTGCTCGCCGTGTGGAGAGTGGAGAGCTCCCCCACCCCCGCCAGGCTCCGGGCGACAACTCTGGTGAACTCTGACACCATGCCTCGGCCTCACTGCCCCAGGGCGTGTGCCACACGTCTCGTCTGCGTCCGAGCGCGGCCAGACCCTCCTCCGTCTGAGTGCCCGTCATCCGTCACCGTGGGGAGGGGCCGGGGGTCTGCAGGCCGATGGCGGGGGGCGTCAGGCCAGGGGTGCACACCCGCCCTGTGGAGCCGCTTACCCGGGTGGCCTGGCTGGCAGCCCGGGCCGAGGGGCCCATCACGATGTTGACGCTGCTGGACGACTGGGTGTCGCTGGTGTTGCCCCCGTCTGCGGCCGACAGTCCAGAGATGACCAGAGCACTGGAGAAGCCCCTCTTGCCGAAGAGGAAGCTCAGGGTGGAGCTGGTGGACGAGCCCAGGCTGGACCTGACCAGCGCCTCGGCCCGCTCGCGGACGCTCAGGTGGTCGGTGCCGGTGACGGGCGGGGGCTGAGTGTGCAGGGACGGGGCGGAGGTGCGTAAGGACAGCAGGCTGCCCGCGCGCTGCGGGGCCAGGCCCTGGGCCGACGCGGACGTCTGCAGGGCGGCGTGGCGGCTCTCTGGGATCGGGCCGGACGTGCTCAGGACGGGCGGCCTCTGGCCCAGCGTCCCGTGTGCCTGGATGGACCGGCTCCGGCCTTTCCTCCTGCCTTTAAAAGAAAGCAGAGCAGGTTGCCATGGCGATGTCGGTGTCTGTGCAGTGAGGTGGGTGGCCCGCTCCCCCTGGGCCCGAGGGGCCCGAGGGACCCGGGGGGTTCGGTGGGCGCCCCAAGCGCTGAAGGGCTGACCGCAGGGTGCCAGCGGCCAGAGGGTGGGGGCAGTGGCCAGGCTGGACCTGTGCGTTGGCCCAGGCCTCCCTGGCTCTAACGCTGAAGTCCAGGCCCCCGAGACGCCTGTCTGCAGGCGGGGCGAGCCAGCAGGACACCTCACCATCCCGCGACTGGCCGCACGCTCATCCCATCAGCAGCGACAGAGGGAGAATGGGCCGCGTTTGTCATTCTCAGTTGCCTTCAGAAAGGAAATGAAAAGGTTGGGCCTCGGGCCGTGGCCTTTGTTTTCTAGAAAAGTTTTCCCTTAAGACCTGGTCTCAGAGGGCAGGCCCTCCCGGGCTCCCCACGGGCAGGTGGCGACACTGGCCTGGCCGGTCGGGACACGACCACCCCTGCTGTGGCTCCAGCTCCCTGTGCCGGCCGTCCCTGCCCTCGGGCCCCGGCCGGCCCTCCCCTCGGGCCCGCTCTCTCTGAGCCGTTTCTGATGAAAGGGACTGAACTGTCCCAGTGATGTGGTCCCGTCCACGTCTCTGGGACGAGGACGACTTATGTGCACATGGCCGCCCCGTGCACGGCCCGTGAGGCCGGGCGGACGCGCAGTGAGGCGGGACCCGTGTGCTCCAGATGCGGACGTGCTCACTCCGCGTCAGTAACCGCCAGGGCCTGACGTTAAAATGTCCCACAGGAAGCAGCGGTGACGTCGCAGTTCTACCGACCGCCTTATCGGCATACCCCCTGAAGCTGCTTCACTCAGGCGTCCGGTCCATAAAAACGGGGCGCACGGGGGCACCCCAAAGGACTGTTTCCCATGCTGCAGCTCCCCCAAGTGCCCAAACCAGTAAGGGTGCATCGAGATTCTAAACATTCACGTGTGTCTACAGGACCGTGGAGGACACGTCCTCTGAGGTGACCCCTCAGGGAGCGAGCGCCACCACGGAGCTTCCAGGGGGCCCCCAGCCCCACCCGCCCAGGGCGGCCCGTGCCGGTGCGTGCCCGGTGCCGGGGGCACTGGCGTTCCCGTCTGGTTCCCTCCTCGTCTGCTGAGAAGATGGGGTCCCCACCCCCACGGCCGCTCACCCGCAGGACTGGCGTTTCTCTCCCTGGGGCGAGGGTGGGAGCCCATCTGGACCCTCCCTGCTGAGCAGTTACTCACTCTTTTAAGAGGAAAAAAGAGGGAGAAAAGGGACCCTGACGAATCGGAATTTAGGGCAGAGACAGCGATTTGTTTGTTCAGAGTCTGGCGAGGCCAAACATCTGTCTGTGATTTACGGCCAACGCTGATTGCTGTGCACGAGGGCCCCAGTCGTCCGCAAGCTGGTGATTCTGGTGCTGGAGGGAGGACCACCCGGACGTGGGGGGGGAGGGGGCTTCCAGTGAATTCCAGGAGGAAAAGGACAAAGCCCTCAGTGTGCGTGTCACGGGGGGGCGGCCTCCGCTCTCTGCAAGACAAGGCCGCCTCCCCCCACCCTCACCCCTTCAGAGTTCCTCGTGGCTGTTCTTGTCGCTGCTCCTGACTTTCTGGTAAATTTAATTTTGCAAATGGGACAAGCGAGCAACCCGTGCCGTCCCATAGCCTGGCCATGCCGATTCCTTCATCAGCGACGTCTGAGTGTCTCAGGGAAAACCTTGGAACCTGCTCGGGATGCCACAGAAAGGGCCCTCCTCGGCACCTGGTCCCGGCCCTGTGCCTCCGCCCGATTGTCACCTGATGGGTTGTGGCACACATCCTCTCAACTGCTCTCGGCAAGGCCGCCAGCCTCCCACAGGCCGGCCACGCCCCTGTCTGGCGGGGACACACCCTGTTACCCCCAGCAGGAGGCTGGGCTGTGGGGCCACAGCTGAGGCTGCACCCGGTGCCCTGCAGCTATGCACGCCGGGAGCAGCACACGCAGTGTGGCCCGCCTTGGGGGGCGGCCCTGCCTGTGGGGACTCAGGCAGCACCCTGGTCTTCTGAGAGTCTGGCAAGAGTCAATACTGGGACACTCAGCTGGGGGCTGAGGCAGGGGCCGAGGGCGAGAACAGCCCGTCCCCAGCCATGGGAATTAGGCCGTGGGCACCGTGAGCAAACACGACCCCCGTGGGTCACACCCATCCTTCGGAGCTGCTGCGGCTCGGGGCCGAGCTGCCCGGTTGAGCCCTGCCCGAGGGCCTGGTCCTCCAGCTCGGGCCCGCCTGTCCCCATGCGGCACGAGGCGCCCGGCTGCTTACGTGGCAGCATGTGGCTTCTCCTTCCTTCACTCTGCTCCCTCAAGTCACAGATGACGACAGCATTGTTTCTGCAGACTCTGCACACAGCACACTGACTGACAAATAAGGGACGCGAGGGACCAACCTGCAAAACTGTATCGACAGGGTGACCACCGTCCAGCTCCCACCCGCAGGGCCTCAGCTCCCGGCCCCCAGTGGTTCTAAAGGCCAAGGTTAGGGAGCCTGTGCCCACCCAGACCTTCTGGGCCCGACTCTGTTTGTGTCGGGAAGAACGACCTGAACGTAGTCGAGGTGGCACGCCAGCCGCTGTGCACAGGGACACGTGGCACTGTGCAGCTGGCCGGCTACGGGGACAGTGGAGCGGGCCAGCAAGTGAGAGGGTCCCTCCTTTGTCTGCACCTCCCCTCCCTCCTCCCGGCTCTGACTGCGGGGGGCACCCAGTCCCAGGTAACTCTCGGAGTGCAGTGCTTCTTGAGCCAGGAGAGGGGCCCATGGCTGTCCCTTGTCCCCTTCCCTCCCCTGCTCACAGTGGGGGCCTAACCTAACCCCACTGGTGGCTTCAGGAAGAACTGGCCTCAGCTGTGCTGTGGGCCAGAAGAGGGACCAGCTGCAAGAGGCCTTGTCAGCAGGGTACAGGACGAAATCAGGCGTGGCAGGGACCCTGTGGGGAGTGAGGGTGGCAGTGAGGCTCCATGGCTCACTCCCAGCTCGGGGACAAGGGTGGCACTGGGTGAGCGCCACGGGACGGGGTGACGGCCCATGCGGTGGGTAGGGCCACGGGTTCTGGGCTCATCCCGCCTGGGTCTAGATCCCAGGCCGGCCGCTTACTAACTGGGCGACTGGGCGGGGACTTGATTTCTTGTGCCCAGCCTCTTCGGGGTCAGATGAGGACAGGGACAGCGCCTGTCCCTTGGAGTCGCCTAGGAAGGGGTGGAGTGGCTGCACGTGCGGTGTTCGGGAAGGTGGCGGGCACACGGCACTGCGGGACAGGTGCTTGCTGCGTTTTCTCACTGTGGCCAGACGGGTGAGCACAGGCCGCGCCCACAGAGACAGTGGGAGCAGCAGCAAGCGGCCCCCCGAAGTCCCCGGCAGCACACACGGGCCTCGGAGCCGGGGCCGACTCAGGCCGCAGTGGGCCCATGCTCGTGAGGGCTGGAGCCAGCCCGTGGCCCAGTCACCGGTGGGCCTCGGCACCTTGGCCAGCACCGGAAGCCAGGTGTGCCCTCGGTGGGGGCAGGTTTTAGAGGCAATGACCACTGGCGGCTCGTCTGGGCCTTGGGGGTTCTGCTGACCTCCGCACCGCGTCCGTGATGCTCCCCAAAGCCCTGCATTTGCTGCCTCCAGCGCCAGGTTCACTGGAGAAGAAAGAACTTTTCTCCTTTTGCTGCCTCGCCCATCGAAAGGGACAAAGGGGACGCGGCCCTGCGCCAGGTCCACCTCGTCAGGCCCTGCCCTCCAGCGGCCACTCCTCACTCCCGCCTCCTGGTTCCGACAAGCCGCCCGGACCGCACGGCACCGCCAAACGCCCAGGCATGTCTCCACTCAGAAGCTGCTCAGACCTCCCCATCTGCAAAGTCATTTAGGCGATTTTCAAACATATTTCTCATGTGATAGCAGCTGATGACCAAGCAATGAGAGGGCCTGGCCTGAGCGACAGCCACCCAGAGGCCCCGAGCTGGGCGGGCAGGTGTCTGGGCCCGGGGAGGGCGCCTCCCTCTGAGCCGCCGAGACCGGCCACTTTGCCATCCACCTGGCCACCCGTCCACCTCTCCCTCAGTCTTCCTTCCTTCCTATCGATCACCTATCTATGATGTATCTATCGTCTATCACTTATCATGCATCTAACCTAAGATCCTCTACTATCCATCATCATCATCATCATCTCTGTCATCTGCCCACTTAACATCCTGCCCACGCTTACACAGATCCTATTTCAGTGAAATCTGCGGCCTTGCTCTGGGCGCTCCCAGGAGGCAGGACTGTCCCTTGCTGACTCGTTGGTGCAGAGGTGGCAGGTGGACCATCTGGAAAGAGGCCCCTAGCAAGTGCTTCTGGATGCTGAGGGGGCACCGAGCCCGGAAGGTGAAACCGCTAACAGGCTTCGGGGGCAAAGCCCGGCGCCGACGTGTGGCGGGGACCAGCGCCGAGCCTCTGTCTCTCCTGCAGCCACCTGGCGCGTCCTCTGTGAGCCCCCACGGTCGCCTCGGCTAACCGAGCCCCTCCCCTCCCCCCAGTGGACCGGGGCGGGAGCCTCATCCAGGCCGTCAGCTCGACCAGGCGGCCTAGTTTAAACTTTAAACTCTGCCCACACTTGGACCGGGCCACCCCTGTCGTCCCCGTCTGCTGGCACCTCCTCCCGCTTTTCCTGTCCTCTGAAGTGTCCGGCATAAGTGGCAGGAGGTGAGAACTAGAGAGAAGCAGGACAGGGGGGCGAGGCCTGTCGCTGCCACCACAGCCTTGGGGAGGGGACCGAGTCTCAGAAAGACGAAAACGCCATCCAGGAGCCAGACAGAAGCACGTGGTCCCTGGGTGAGCGAGATGGGACGGATGACAGACCGGTGGCCGGCTGGCCACGACGCCTAGACGGATGAAGGATGAAAGCTGACTCCATTTTTATGAGCAGAATGTACAAGAGTCAGCAAATCCGGGCATCCTGGGTCCTCATGTTGTTTTCTTGCGAGCAGGAGCTCTCAGAGGCTCATGACACCGCCCCCGCCCCCCGCCCCCGGATTGGTCACTGGGACCAAAGGAGCCTTTATCAG